AGTGTGGAAAAAATAATTATGGGATTTTAAATTAAAAAATAAAATAAAATAAAATAAAATAAAATAAAATAAAATAAAATAAAATAAAATAAAATAAAATAAAATTAAATTAAATTAAATTAAAAATAAAATTAAAAATAAAAAAAATTTAAAAAAATTTAAAAAAATAAAAAAAAAATTAAAAAAAAAATTAAAAAAAAAAATAAAAATTTTTTATTTTTTTTTTTCAATTTTTATATAAACATTTAAATAATGAAACAAACTTAATATAATATAAAGAAAATGAAATATTTTAAAAAAACTAAATATAAAATAAATTACAATTATGAATTGTTATACATTATAAAGATTAATAAAACAATTAATTTAAAACAAGTATATAAAAAATTTTGATTATATATTAAAGAAATATTAATATTAATTATAATTTTAAAATAAAATAATAATATGAATAATTATCAAAACAATAATAATAATATAAAAATATATATTATAAAAACAATAAATAAATAATAAATAAATAATAATATAAAATTTATAAAAAATAAAAAATATAAAATGAAATATAAAAGGGATTTATTAATGTTTAAATTTATAAAGAAACATACTGGTAATAATAATAAAAAAAACAAAAGTAAAAATTAGATTTGTTTTGGGTGTTTTGTATTGGATTGGTTGAATTGGTTTTTTTTTATTGTCACAGTAAAAGGTATTGTAATAAATTATTTTATTAATTAATAATAGAGAACAATACTAAAATAATGTTATAATATAAACAATCATAGTTATAATATAAAAAATAATAATAATAGAATAAATTGATTATTTTTAAAATAAAAACGATAAATAATAAATAAAAATAATTTTATAATAAAATAAATAAAATCTATAAAAAAAGTAGTTGTAGTTAAAAATAAATTTAAAATTATGTTTTTGATATTGGTATATATTTTTAGATGGGTTATTTTGCTATCTAAAATAAAAAAACATATTTTTGGCAATTTTTTAAACATTCAGTAATATAATTAAATAAATAAGACAGATTGTTAGGAATAATAAAAAAAAGGTTAAAAGTAAAAATGATGACTTGTTTAGGTTAGTATTCGATTGGGTTGGAATTGATTGGAATGAATTTCATTGGAATCGATTGTATTGCATTAGATTATGTTAGATTAGGTGAATCGGAATTTTGTTATCAGTAAAAGTAAAAGTTATTGGAAAAGGTTATTCATAATAGTAATAGAAATAATTGTAATAATAGAAGAATAGAAACAAATAATGTTATAATAAAAGCAATCATAATAAATAGTAATAAAAATAATAATAACTACATTACATTTAGGTTTTAGGTTATATAGAATAGTTAATCAAAATTAATTAAATTAATCAAAAATTAAAATTATATAAAAAAAAATTTTAAATAAAAATAGTTTATTATACATATAAATTTATTAAATAAACATTTAAGAAAATAAAAAATGTAATTTTTTTCCTTTTCTTTTTTTACTTTTTTAGTTTTTTTTTAATATTAAATTATAAATTATAAATTATAAATAATAATGAAACATTAAAAAAACAAATTAAATATAAACATTATGTATACATAAAAAAGAATGCTTCCCAATTTTAAACATTTTTTATTTTTTATTAAATATTTAGATCGGATGTAACAAGAAAAAAGTATAATCAATAGTTTTTCTTTTTGAATTTTAGGATAGTTAATAATATAAAAATAGCAACTAAAAGAAATAAGCAATAAAATGTGAAAGTGTAGCCATATCAAAAGATTAATAATAGCACAAATTAAATAGTTAATAATGGGAATTCAATTCTGCCTACAAAATCAATAAAAACGCCCACAATTATACCATCATTCAATCTTATTTCAATATATAAAATAAAATAAAAAATAAAATAAAAATTAAATTATATAAACATTTTTTTTCAGACCTTGTTAAAACACTGTATTTAAAATAATTTTAGTTAAAATTTTTAATAATAATATCTAGTGATTGGGATATACTATTGAATTGTAATTGTTGTATTGTAATTATATTTCTACCAAATTGCTTATCTATCCAGTTCTTTAATTGAACAATAACTAAACTATCGAGACCATACTGATTCAATTGAATTCCCAAGTTGATTTTTGACGCTTCAATTGAAAGTAATTCGCATATTTTATTTATTATTTTAATTTTTAAATTTTCTTTGCTACTGTCACCATCAAATGATATATTTGACTTTTTAACCATATTTGATTGATAATCAAGTTTAGAATAATTATGATTTGGTTTTGAAGACACTATATTTTCCAAATTAAAGTTACACAAACAATAGTTTGAATGATTGTTTTTATCTTGAATGAAGAGATCTAGCGAACTAAATATTTGTTGTTGTGAAGTAAAGTTAAACTGTGATGATTGTAGAATCGTTTTGACTGCATCATTTCTTGAAATAAATCCAGTTGATGACACTGCACCTAAATTAATTGATAGTGATGGTAGTCCAATTGATTTTCTATATTTTGATAATGAGTCAATTGTATTGCAAGCACTAACATAACAACATTGTCTAAATGAACCAGTAATTGATACCGCCGAGGATGCTAAAATAAATTGTTTTAATTTCCATGAACGTTGAATTGATTCATTATGTAAATTGAAAGCACCAATTGTTTTTGCACCATGGGTACTATTTAGACGATTCATATCAATATCCTGAACATCACTAATATCATTTACAAATGCAAAGTGTATTACTGTATCTATATTTGTAATGTTTGAATTTGATTCTAGATTGTTTAAAACCTTGTGAACTTTATTACTATCTTCGACATTGATTTGATTAAAATGGAAATTAATTGTATTATCTTTTTGATGTTTAGTTTGATTGATTAATAACTCTAATTCCCATTTTAATGGTGATTTTGATAAAATTATAATATTATCAATTGATTTGTTTGAATATTTGACCATCCATTTCATTATTTCTAAAATGATACCTGTTTGACCTGTTACTAATACATTTTTACCAATATTTAATCTTGATATATCATAGCTGTTCTTCATAACAATTAAATCATTTCGTATCTGTTCATTTAATACTCTTGATAACATATCTATGTCATGATTTACAACGATTTTACCAATATGTTGTCTTTGATTAATATATTCAATTGCATCTTTAAATTGATCATTTGAATATTCAATGATTGGAATTAGTTCTAATTTATTTGACTGTACTAAACCAATGATTTTTTTGAGGTAATTTCTAAACAATTTAACTGGAAATTTTCCAAGTTCAACATTATTATATCCATAGTTGTATTTAAAGTGATTGTTTGTGATATAGTCGTTTGGTGTTAAATGTGTAATTGAAAGGTCTACAATTCTACCACAAGTATTTAAACATTGGAAATTTGAATCCATATATTCTGATGGTAATGTATTTAATATTAAATCTACACCTTGATTATCTTTGTCACATCCTAATTCTTTTAATTTGTTTTTAATTTGACCAACATAGTTTTTATTTCTTGAAGAATAGATACCAGTAATAAATGAACCATATTTTTCTGTTAAATATTCTTCTTTATCTTTTGAACCAACTGTTAAAAATATATAACCCTTGTGTTGTTTACACTTTAATAGTTCTAATGACGAAAGGCCGACACCACCCGTAGCTGAGTGAATTAAAATAGTTTGGTCAGTTTGTAAATTGCCAATATAGAAAATACTGTGTAGTGAGGTAACATAAATTGTTGGAATAGATGCTGCTTGTATAAGTGAGATATTTGATGGTTTGAAATAAACATTTTTGTAGTCCAATATAACGCTTGATCCACTAGCCATTGGGGCAACTCCAATTACTTCATCACCGATTTTTAATTTCTTTACTTCACTTCCGCAACGAGTAATAATACCACTAAAATCATTTCCAATATTTGGCATTTGATTTAGTCCGTTTTCAACTTCTTCTTCTCTGCCATATTTGAGAACAACATTATTTGATACTTGACCAATATATATAAGATAGTCTTTATAGTTGATACCAGTACCTTTTATTTGAACTTCAATTTCATTTGGTTTTAATTCTTGTTTTTTAGTTTTTAATACGTATTCTAAATTTAGATCAAGTTGAACTATTAAATCATCTTTGTTTGTTTCGAATGATTTTGATGAAAATAATTGTTTAATTTTCGTTTGCTTTTTGTATCTTTCATAATATACTGTATTGTTTTTAATCGTGAATTCTCTTTGAATATTTGTTTTTGGATTTATTAATATATCGATAAGTGATAGTATATTTTCATTTTGAATTGAAATATTATCGAAATCTAATGAGTATAAATCTAATTGTGGAAATTCTGCAAAATATTTTGTTGCTCCATTGATTGATGATGATAAATAGTTGCTTGATGTTGAGTTTAATAAAATTAAAACGTGTTTAAAAAAGTTTTCAATTTCATGTTTAAGTAATATTTGATTTATTTGAATGTATTCGAATGTTGTTTCTTTAAAATTATTGATATCTAATGGATCTATTCCTTTCATAAAGATTATTAATGTTTTACTTTGTTTAATGGAATCGATTGATTTAATAATCCAGTTGTTAAGTTCATTAAAGCTATCGATTTGTATTATTTTTGAACATAATAGTTGATTTGATCTAAACGATTCATTAATTTGTGTACCATATAAACTATTTCCAAATAATATAATACTATCATGAGATCTTAATTGTTTCATTGATTCTATATTTAATAATACCATTTCATTTATATTTGATTTTCTTGTTTGAATTAAAAATGATGCATTATCATTTCCAGATATTGTTGTATCTTTATAGTTGCATTCATTTAGTAATTTGAACCATATTTCTTGTTTCATACAGCTTCTATCTTTTCTGATATCAATATCTTCTTGTGATGGCCACCATTGTGGGAATATACCAAATATAGAATCAAAAATTAATGATTTGTATGGTGGTTCTATAAAAATAATTTGACCATTTGGTGTTAAAATATTATGGATTTCATTTAAACTGAATCTAAGTAGTTTTACGACATGTAATACATTTGACATTACAACCATATCGTAATAGGATGCTTTTAAATCTTGATCTTTTAATGATTTGTCTAAATCTAGAAGACGATAAATTATATTGACACCTTTGATGTTTGAAAGTTTTTCTTTAATGTTTGAAAAAAATGATGCTGAAATATCACTCCAAGTGTATTCTATATCAATTTTTGATGATGGATTATCATTTAATAGTTTGTTGATTTTATCTAATATTAAAATTGATAGTGAGCCGACACCACCTCCAAATTCTAATATTCTGAAAACTATTGGTTCATTAATAATTAATTTAATTGATTCAGAAACAATTTTACTTAATAAATTATTAATTGGTGAAAGGAATTTTGATTTTTGATAAATATGATCTAAAAACCCATCTTCATATAATGATTGAGGAGTGTCTATATTTGGATTGTCATCTTCTAATGGGAATATAAGCTTTGCCATAATTTTAGTTGTTTTTTCCAAAAGTTTAATATGCTTATCATTATTGCCATCAGGGAACTCACATAATTCTTTATTGATACCTAAACTATTATATTTTTTTAAAATTTCGAAAATAAAGAAAAATAAATTTTCATTTACCCTATCGATATGGTATAGTTGTTTGAATTGGTCATAACCCATTGTTGTCAATGTTTCATTGTTGATAGTTGGACGTCTTTGATTAATATGGTAGTAAAATGATGACAATAAATGATCTCTTGATTCTGTTTGTAGATATAATTCATCCATCACCAATTCTTCTAATTGACATAAGTGTTTGAACGATTGTGGTTTATTAATGATGGAATCTTTTGATTGTTGGATTGGCAGATAGATTTCGTTGGATGGTGGGGGGATAATAAGGGTATTGTTAATGATTGGTGTAAGTGATGTACAAATAATATTTGTAATTTCAATTAATAATGTGCCATCATTTAACATTATTTTAATGGATCCTGAGTATGAGTGTAAACTGATTCTTGATTTCATTTCAGAATATACATATATTTCAGAATGTTGTTGATTTGGTGAAGGTGTGTTTGATGAAAAATATTTTAATCCTTCGATTTTATCTAATACCAATTGGCATTGATGGTCGATAAAACCTAGCATTCCATGTAAACATGTATCCAGTATTGCAGTATTAAAGAATGAATTCATTGTATCGTTGTTGAGTAAGTGGTTGAATTCATTTTGATTTTGAATTTCATTTAGTGATACAATCGATAGAGAACAGTTATTACCAAAATAGCATTCTTTGACACCTTGGAATAAACCTTTGTATGTTAATCCGGTTTTGATTTTAATTGAATCATAAAGTTCTGATTTTGATAGTTTAGTAAAGCAGCAACTATTTCTTATTTCTTCAACATTGATTCGGTTTATTTCGTTACCATGTTTGAATAGACTAAAGTTACCAGTGGAACACAATACCCATTGATTTGTTGTTGTATCTTTAAAGTGTGATTTGACATTGTATTCATTTTTTGAAAGTGTATTAATGGTTGTTTGAAGACATTGACTTACATCATCTTGTAAAACTAATGGTGTTTTAAATTCGATTGAACTGATTGTAATATCTTGATTTGGATAAATGTTGAATAAATTGATGATATATCCACACCCTGGGAAGTAGTATTTACTTTTTACTTGATGTCCTTTTAGCCATTGAAATGGTTGTTTTTTAGTATCTATATATGTTTGATATGATTTGGATGGTGATTCATTTGTAATACCAAGATGTTGTATTGGAGGTCCTTCTTTTTTAATCCTTTCATATGCTGAATTTTGTTTGAAATACAATTTATCATCCCATTGATATAATGGTAATTTGTATAATACTTTATGAATATAATTGCTGTGGTTTTGTTGATTTAACTGTGATTTGAAATTAATATTATATGAGTTCTTTACATAAAGTGTTGAGATTATATTTAGGAATTCATTGTAACTATTTTTCTTTTTGTGAAGTGGTGAATGTATAGTTATTTTTTCTCCATTATTGAAATATGGTGATTGTATTGATTTCATTTGATTTAAATAGAACGATAATGTAGGATGTGGTGCGACTTCGATAAAAGTTACTTCGTTACCATAGTTGTTTTCCTCAATGTATTTATATATGTTTGAAATGGTTTGAGAAAATTTTACTGGTTGTAAAACATTTTCAAATACATATTCTGAATTGAATGGTTTAGTGTCGTGATTAAATAAGTTGGTGGTAACTGTTGAAAATATAGGTGTTGTTGATTGTTTTGATTCAATTTTCATTGAACATATTTCATCTTTAATAACTAATTGACTTGATGTGTGGAGTGATGATAATGTTCCTAGCATAGCACAAAATATATCTTTTGATTTTAAATCAGCTACAATTTCATTTAGTAAATGCTCTTTACCTGATACTACAATTGATGATGGTGAGTTGTAGCAAGCAATGTTGACTGTTGGATATTTTGATGTATAGTTTGATATATACTCTTCAGCACTTATATTTATAGATAACATTCTTCCAGTACCAGTTGTTTTATTTTGAGCTACGGATCTGTGGTATACTAAATAACATAATGTTTCAAAGTCAATCATACCAGAGCAATATGGAGTTGATATTTCACCAAGAGAATGGCCAACAATTAAATCTGCTTTGATTCCCCAGTGTTTATATAATTCGAATAATGATACTTGGATCATTATATTTGAGGGTTGTGCGATCATATGTTCGTGTATTGATGTCATATCTTTATCATCAATCGATCTTAGTTTTTGTAAAACAGAGTACCCATAGTATTTGAATAGCTCATTGTCGAATTTATCTACCCATTGTTTAAATATTATTTCATTTTCATATATTTCATATGCCATCCTATTATATTGTGATCCTTGACCGCAAAATACAAAAATCGTAAATGGATTGTTATTTTTAACTGTAATGTTTGAAAGTGTATTTGTATTGGATGATTTTATTTCATTTTTTGAATCTTTAAATTCTTCCCAATTACTTGCGATAATAACTGATCTTTGAATGAGTGATGTTGATTTATATTTGATTTGATTTTTTACAAATTCATTAAAACCTAATCTGTCTGATTGTTCTATAATAATTTGTTTGTATTTATCAAGTGATGTTGATGAGTTTGATGAGAATGGTATTAAATACTTTTTGATAGTGTTATTTTCTTTTTGAATACTAGTATTTTGATTATAATCTGATAAAATAATACAACAATTTGATCCTATTATTTTTAAAACAATAAATTATTAATATATTTATTTTTTTAATTTTTTTAAATTTTTTTAAAAAATTAAAATATACTTACCAGTTATACCAAAGTTATTAATAGCCATAACAGTATTTTTTTTAGAAAAAGGTGTTGGTTCAGTTACAACTTTTATACGCCACTCATCGAATTTAATAGCTGGGTTTGGTGATTTAAAGTTGACATTTTGAACAAAAGATTGGTTTTTATACATAACACAACATTTGATGAATGACATTACACCTGATGATGCTTCACCATGACCAATATTTGATTTAATTGAGCCAATTAAAACTTGTTTGTTTGTGTCTTTGAATATTCTTGAAATGCCTTCTAGTTCTATTGGGTCTCCAGTCGGTGTACCAGTACCGTGACATTCAACATAATCGATATCGGATGCTTTGATTTGACCATTGGTAGACTCGATTGCAAATTTAATATTTTCATATTGTGATGACTTTGATGGTGAATAAAAGTTTGATTTATCATTGTTACCATCTACGTTTGAACCTGAACCTTTGATAACACAGTAAATGTTATTACCATCTTTTATTGCTTGTTCTAAATTCTTCAATACTACAACACCGACACTTTCTGAACGTACATACCCATCTGCATCGGATGAGAATGTGTGACACTTTCCAGTTGGACTTAACATTGATAAATGAGAAAATGATTTTGATGTATTTGGGTCTAAAATTAGAAAATAAGATAAATAATTAATTTGATGAACATTTTCTTTAAAAACAAATATTTTAAAAGTCTGGAATACATACCAAGTATTAAACTGACGCCACCTACAATAGATACATCAGACTGACCGTATTTGATAGATTTATAACCAAGGTTAATTGCATTTAATGATGAACTACATGCTGTATCGACAGTCATAGAATCACCACGAAAATCAAAGCAGTATGATATTCTATTTGATATTGAATGAAGTGATCCCCCAAAAATGTTTTTTTGGGTATCAAAAGGTGATTTATTGGCAGTATCATAGTCTACAGTTGATGAACCAATAAATGTACTTGTATTTGAGCCTCTTAATGTGAGTGGATCAATACCGCTATCTTCCAATGCTTCCCATGTACACTTTAACAGCAATCTTTGTTGAGGATCGATAGTATTGACATGTTCATCACTTGGGTTTATACCAAAGAATAATGGATCAAAAGATTTCCATTCATCAAGCGGAATAAGACCAGCATATTTGCAAACGATATCACCAACCACACTATAATTGTCAGACCATCTTTCAGATGTTTCTACGATACCATCGAAACCTTTTACTAAACTTTCCCATAGTTGACTTGTATTTGAAATCGATTTTTTTAAACAACCACTTGGTGCTCTAAAACCTATACCTATAACTGCAACATCATTAATTTGAACAACATATTTTGATGACATTTTTAATAAATATATAAAAAATAAATAAATAAATAAATAAATAATTTTATTTTTATGTTTTAATTTCAATTATTAAAATTATTTTAAATACAAAATAAAAAAAGAAATTTTTTATAAAAAAAAAAAAATAAAATAAAAATTAGTTTAAACGTTTTGAATTTTAAACAGCTCTTCCTTTATTATATTAAAGTTAAAGTCTCTAAATTATTTGAATTATTGGTGTGTTTACAATTGAAAAATAAAAAATATAGTTACCCACCCACCCACTAAACCATTTTAATTTTTTTAACCTCAGATACAAAAAAAAAAAGAAAAAATTAAAAAATTTAAAGACAAGATTGGGTTCTTTAATTATTGTTTTTTGTATCGATCGCCTGGGAGTAAATATAACCAAAAAAAAAAAAATTTTCATTTAATTTTTTTGTAAAGAACATACAAGATCTTGTGTTTGACTATTCGATTCTTTAAAAAGACCTGAAGATTCACCCAAAAGAATAATTTTTTAAGAAAACTCACCAAAATCAATATTACAAACTAAATAAACTTTTTTTTTTTTTTTCTTAAACCACAATTACTTTTTTTTATTGGTGCAACATGTAAATATATTCAACTTAACCAACCAAATGCAATCTAATCCAATTTTATCTTTTTTATAAAACCTGTTTTCTTTTCTTTTAATTTTCAATTTTGATTTAATTTTTTTTGTAACCACAGGTGGTGGATAAATATCTATAGTAATTTAAATAATTTTTATTTGTTGATTATTGTTAACTTTTAAATTTATTTATTTATTTCTTATATAAATATATAATATGTAGTTTAACATGTAATTTTGTGGTTTTTGATTTAAAATTTGTTATTGATAAATTAATAAAAATAAAAAAAAAAAAAATTAAAAAAAAGAAAGATATTTTAAAATTTTTTTAAAAATATTTTTAAAAAAAATTTTATTTCAATTTTTTTTTTAAAATTAAATTTTGTCTATATTTTTTTGTTTAAACCAAACAAATGGCAACGATTTCATCAAAAGAAGCAGTTGTTATTGTACTTGATGTTGGTATTGGTATGACATCAGTATTATCAAATAATAATAATAATGAAACATCACCAATAGAAGATGCATTAAGATCAGTTACATTATTGTATCAACAAAAACTAATTTATAGTAAAAAAGATGAACTTGGACTGGTTTTAATAGGAACAAAAGGTACTAAAAACAATTTACAAGATGATGGATACCAACATATTACAGTTGCCAGTGATATTGAAGAGCCATCTATTGAAACTTTAAAATATTTAGAAAACTTAGGACCAGGGGAATCCAAAGGAGATGGTAAATAATCAATATTTTAAAATTTTAAACAATATTATAATATAAATATTAAATTATGAATGATATTAATAATTTTTTTATTATTTTTAGTTATTGATTCATTAATTGTAGCAATGGATATGTTAATCAAAAGAACAGAGAATAAGAAATATCAAAAACGTATATTTTTAGTTACAAATGCAAAAGATCCAATCAATACAGATGATTTAACAATTGTTAAAGATCAATTTAAAAAAATTGATGTTAAATTAAATATAATGTAAATAATATATTAATATAATCCATTAATAATAATATTTTAATTTTTATTTTTTATTTTATAGTGGCGTTGATTTTACAGATGAAGAAGAATTAAAGAAAATAAATAATAAAAATTTTACAAACAAACAAAAAAATGAAATATTTTTAAGAGAATTTGCAGATTCAGTTGATGGAGTATTGGTACCTGTTAAACAAGCATTAGAGATGATGAGTTTTTTTAGATCTCAATCAGTATTACAAAGAACTAGCTTTAGAGGAGCATTGGAGATTTCACCAGAGCTTAAAATTCCAGTTTGGGGTTTCCTTAAAATGAAGCAACAAAATTTACCAACATTAAAAAAAATATCTGTATTGGCACAAGAAAAGATTCCAACACCAACCACACTAGATGTTACTCAAGAAACATTCTTTTATAGTATTACAGATCCAGATCAAGAGATTTCAAAAGATGATCTTTTAAAAGGTTACAAGTATGGTAAATCATTAATTCCATTTTCAAAGATTGATGAAAGTCAATTAAAATATTCATCGGCATCAAGATGTTTAAAGGTATTAGGCTTTGTAGACCGTGACTCAATACCATTGTATTATAATATGGGTTGCTCAGAAATGTTTGTGGCCGCTCCAAAAGATAAACAAGCAGAACAATCTCTCTCAGCTTTCATTAGAGGAATGATAGAAACTAATCAAGCAATGTTGGTACGTTATGTAAAAACAATGGGTAGTGCTCCATATCTAGGATATATGATTCCAAAAATTAAAAGCTACAATGATGACGATGAAAATGATGGAATTGAAGAGAAATTTATTGAATGTCTTTACTTTAATCATTTACCATTGGCAGATGATATTAGACAATACCAATTTCCAAGTTTATCTTTGAAGAACCCTTTGACAAGAAAATCATTTATACCAAATAAAGAACAATTAGATGCAACTCAACAACTAATAGATTCAATGGATTTAATGGGTGGTGGTGGTGATGGCGATGAAGAAGAATCAATTCAAATGTTAAAACCAAGTTTCACCTACAACCCATTACTTCAACATTTTTATCAATGTCTTCATCACCGTTCTTTACATCCAAACTCATTAATACCAAAATTAGATCCAATCATATCACAATATATTAATCCAGATGAACAAATTTTAGAAAAATCAAAAAATTCAATTAAAGAATTCTATTTAAAATTCCCATTAACAAAATCTATAAATTTTAATAAATTAAATAATAATAATAATCAACAACAACAACAACAACAACAATCTTTAAAATACTATTGGAAAGATGGAGTATTAATTGGGGAAGAAATTAATTTAGATTCTTATGTTACTGATGATGGTTCAGAATTTAAAAAAAGAAAAATTAATGATTTTTCTGAATTTTCTTTAAATGTATGTATAAAATTTTTGTATATTTTTAATAATAAAAAAATAAAAATTATTAACTTTTTTTTTAAAATAGAAACTAATATCAGGTTATGTTAATGAAGTTGGTACAATTAATCCAGTTCAAAACTTTAAAGATATGTTAAATAGAAGAGATGTTGATTTAGTTGATAAAGCAATTACTTTAATGAAAGAAAGAATTATTCAATTGGTCAACGACTCATTAAAAGAACAATATTATCAAAAAGCATTCGAATGTATTAAAGAACTTAGAAATGGTTGTATTAGAGAGTCAGAAGCCGACTCATTCAATTCGTTTATTAAAGATATTAGATCACTTTACGAAAATAAAAAAAAAGATGATTTTTGGAAATATATTACAACCAACCAACCATATGCTATAAATTTAATTTCAGAAGATGAATGCGATTCCTCATCAATTTCAAAAGATGAAGCTAATGAATTCTTAAATAGAAAACAATCAAATACTCAAACACCACAAATTAATACAAATACAAATACAGATTCAGTTGATGATTTATTCGACCAAATTGAATAAAGAAAAAAATAATATTATCAACAAAATAATAATGTTTTTTTTTTTAAAAAAATAAACAATAGAATTTTCTTTTTGACATTCAATAATATCTTTTTTTTTTTTTTTTTTTTTTTTTTTTTTTTTTTTAAATTTTTATTTTTATTTATCCACATTTTTTTTAAAAATTTTCCTTTTTTTTTTTTTTAATAATAATTTAAAATCAAAATGAAATTATTTGTATTATTAATATTTTTAATTATTAGCATTTTAAATAAAAATGTAAATTCCGAACAATTATATACAAGATATAGATCACCATATCCATATTATAGTCAAAAGAATTTAGGTAAAAAATCAGTTAAAGATGATCCATCACCTCCACCTTACAAAGAATATTGGTATATGCAAACTTTAGATCACTTTAATTTTCAAACTAAAGGCCAATTTGCACAACGTTATTTAATTTCCGATACATACTGGAATAAACCTTCACCATCATCAAAGGTTTGTAGTGGTCCAATTATTTTTTATACAGGTAATGAAGGTGATATAGTTTGGTTTTATGAAAATTCACAATTTATTACAAATGTTTTAGCTAAAGAAATGGGTGCACTTTTATTTTTTGCAGAACATCGTTATTATGGTGAAACTTTACCATTTGGAAATGAATCATTAACACCAGAAAATACAGGCTATCTTACAAGTGAACAAGCATTGGCCGATTATGCCGAATTAATTCCATCAGTTTTAGCTGATTTAGGCGCTGAACATTGTCCAGTAATTAGTGTAGGTGGTAGCTATGGTGGTATGTTAACTGCTTGGTTCCGTATGAAGTATCCAAATATTGTTGATGCAGGTAAGTAATATTAAAATTTTATAGTACTGTTTCTATTAATTTTTTTACAAATATATTAAACAATAAATTAATAATTAACTTTAATTAATATATCTATATAGGTTTAGCAGCTTCAGCACCAATTTTAATGTTTTATAAAACTGGAGCATCACAAGAAGGATTTAATCAAATTGCAACCGATGACTTTAAGCAAACAAGTGAAGAAGGTACATGTGCATCACGTATTAGAAATGCATTCAATTCAATTATGGAAATTTCACAACAAACAGGCGGTTTACAACAATTGACAAATACTTTTTCATTATGTGATTCATTAAATCAAGTTGGCGATTTAGTTAATTGGATTGAATCAGGTTTAACATATATGGCGATGGCTGATTATCCATATCCAGCTGGATTTTTAGAACCAATGCCAGGTTATCCAATTAATGTCAGTTGCGAAGCCATGGCCACAACTACAGATGATATTCAAGGTCTTCTTAAAGTTTTAAATGTTTACTATAATTATACTGGCACAACACAATGCTATAATACATCAGTTTTTACTACATCAGCCTTAGGTTCAGATGCATGGGACGTTCAAGCTTGTAATGAAATGATTATGCCTATTTCATCAAATGGTGTTCAAGATATGTTCCCAGCAGCTCCATTCAATTTACAACAATTAACCTCATATTGCCAACAAACTTGGGGTATTACCCCTGGTGTTAATTGGATAACAACTTATTATGGTGGCAGTAATTTTACCACCTCAAATCTCATTTTTAGTAACGGTGTTCTAGATCCATGGAGAGCAGGTGGTGTATTAAAAGACTATGGTGATTCAGTTATTCATATCATTATTGATGGTGGTGCTCATCATCTAGATTTACGTATGCCAAATGAAGCCGATCCAGACTCTGTAATTCAAGCTCGTATAACTGAAACTAAATTATTACAAATGTGGGCAAATGAAGCTTCATTAAAAAAACAAAGAAAATAAAATTATTAAATATTATTCTTTTTAATAATAAAACTATGATCAATATTGAAATAATTTTTATAATTTTTAATAAATAATTATTTTTTTAAATATATTTAAAAACTAAACTATTTTTTTTTTTATTTTCTAAAAAAAAAATTTAAAAACTATATTTATGAAAAAAAAAAAAAAATTTTGAATGAAATAATTTTATAATTTATTATTATAATTTGTTATTTATTAATTTATTTATTATTATTATTATTATTTATTATTATTTATTTATATTTTATTTTGATGTACCTCCAAAAATTTTTAACATTGAAGATAAACCACTGTATGGTCTATGGCCAACTATTTTAGAATTTTGAGCATTTACAATAACAGTATAAGATTTTGAGTCATAAATATATTTGATAAAATATACTGGAAGGAAAACTTTTTGAGATGCTACACGGGTAAGGGTTGTTTCAATTACAATATCTTTAGTTATGCCACCAACACCACAACCTACTTTAATTCTATTTTCACAAACTTCTTTGTCTTTTTGTCTAATTTTAGCCTCTGCAATCTTTTTCCAAGCAGTACTTTCATCCATTAAGAAAGCCAATGGTTGAATTTTTGGGTTTGGTGGACCTTGTTCAACAGTAGGAATATTTGTTACTTCCCATGTTTGTACCTGGGCTAAAAGATCTTTATCGATTAACTTTGTGTTGGCAATAGTTGCATGCCTATATCTATTTGAAACAATATTAACTTTATGTGACCAATTGGCTGATTCGAATTTACCAATTGGATGGTGATTGTAAATATTATGTTGTTGAGTTGGACTGGTTAAAATACTGGTAACAGGAATACCATTTGAAATATTTGCGCTATATTTTGTGGTTGTATGGGCTTCATAAATCCAATATGGAATATAAATTGGTTTGATATAACGGACTGATCTTGTAAACTCTAAATCTGATGGAGCAAACCAAAGGGAAGTTAACCAATTCTTAAATAATTGAGTACATTGTGAACGTGAAATGTTGAATGGTAAATAAACAGGTGGATCAGATTCATTCTCTTTGGTAATATGAGTTTCAATATCGAAATCACTTGCAATATGGCTATCTGAATATATGGTTTTATGGCTTGGATTTTTGATTGAATGGATTGAATCGCAAGTTTTACATAAAAATATGCTGCATGTTTCACATTTTTTGGTGATTTTCTTTGATGAACAGCTGTCACAAAATTTTGGGCAAAAGGCATTGGCATTCTTAAGCTTTTCAACTGCAGTTAAAAGATGACAATTTATTGGTAATCCGTCTACTCCTTTTTCATTTAATTTAACTTCTCCCCTACAAAATGGACAACTAAATGAAGTATTATTCTTTTGGCCAGTAATCATATTTTCAATACAAAGTTTACAAAAATTGTGGCTACATGGTAAAATTATTGGTTTGTCAAATAATTCATAACAAATTGAACACTAAAATTTTAATATAGATTAATATTTAATCATAAATTATTATTTCATAATATTATTAATTTGAATACATACTGTAAAATCTTCTGATAAATCAATAAAAAATTTTTGGAGAGATTTTGAACTTGATCTATAATCTTCGTCACCACTACTATCGCTTATATCCGAATCTTTTTTATTATAAATAGGATTTCCATTTTTTATCATCATTAACATGGTTAATGAATTTGGTGTTTGGTCTGAATCTATCATTTTCTATTATACAATTTGGTTTTATTTACAATATTTACAAAAAATTATTTACAAAGAAAGGTTTGATTTTGATTTTAAAAAAACTATATACAAAAATTTATTATTTTTACTATTATTTTAAAGCTGAAATTTATTTTTTTTAAAAAAAAAAATTAGAAAAAAAAAAATTATAAAAAACTATGATTCTATTTTGTTTAAACTATATGAGAAAAAAAAATATATTAGTAAATTAATATAACAACAATAAGAAAGAAAAAAATTAAAAAAAAAAAAAAAAAAAGTAAAATATTAAAACCAAATTGAATATAGGTGGTAATTTTAAATTTAAAAAAAAAATTAAATAAAAAATATAATTTAAATATTATTTTAATTTTAAAAAAAAACAATGGAATATTTATGTGTGGTTGGGTGATGTAACAGTTATTTTTACAAATATAAAAAAAAAAAAAAAAATAAAAAAATAAAAAAAAAAAATTAAAAAAAATATAAAAAAAAATAGTTTTGTTTATAAACTATTTGAAAATACTTTTTTAATAATGAAAAGAAAAAAATAAATATGTATTAAAAAAAAAATTAAAAGATGTATAAAAATATTACCAAAGAACCTGTTAAAAACAATAGATAATTTTAAAGTATAAATATGATATTTACTGTAATAATTTATAAAAAAAAGAAATAAAAAAAAAAATTTTATTTGGTATATATTAAATATTTCCCAACAATATAAAAACTTTAAAAATAAAAATAAAAAAAATAAAAAATTTTAAAAAAAAAATATTTAAAAATAAAAAAAATAAATTAAAAAAATAAATAAAAAAATAAAATTTTTTTTTAAAATAATAATAATTTATGGGTTGGGTGGGTAAAAAAAAATAATCCTTTTTGTGCAGTATATAATATAATTATATTATAAAGGATTATTTTTTTATTCAAATCTGAATTAATAAATTAAAGTTAAGAGATTTAAGGTGTAAATTCACCAATAAAAAAAGTAATAAATAAAATTTAATTGATAAAAATAAAAATTGATACATAATATTCAATAATTTAATTATTGTTTAAAATATCAAAAAAAAAATACAAAAATTAAATTGTAATACTTTGAAAAATTATTAAATTAATTAGTTTTTAAATATATGGTTTCGTATTTATTTACTTTTTTTTTTTTTTTATATTTTTTTTTTTTTGATTATATATTTTTTTTTATTAAAAAATAAAAATTATTATTTAAATAAATTTTATTTTATAAATTTTATTTGATAAATTTATTACTATTTATTTGTTTCTATTTTGAAGGGGAATTCTTTTCTCTATAAGCATTAAATAATTTGGTGGTTATTTCTAAACGTCTTGAGGCATCATCATATTTGGTTTTTAATTCGCCAAATGATGATTGTAATTTTGTATTTTTATCTTCAGAAAGAGAGAGTTTGTCGTTAAGTACATCATAACGAAGCTTGGCTTCATCAATTTGATCTTGAAGTGATTGAATATCATCAGATTTACCATCAGCTCTTTTGTGGTTTGATTCAGTAGTACCATTTTGTTGTTGTTGTTGTAATTGTTGAATCTTTGATTCAATTTCTTTATTTGCATTATTTAATTGTTTAATTTCATTTTCAACTTTTTCTTTTTCTTTTTTTATTTCGCTAACTTGTTTATCTGATGATTCACATTTTGATTTTAATTCTTCAATTTGTTTATTGTAATTACCTTGATCACCTTTTAATTGATCGATCTCAGATTGCTTACTTGATAATAGTTCTTGAGTTGATTTGATTTCGTTATCTTTATTTGATAATTGTCCATTTAATTCGTTAATTTGTCTATCTGATGATTCAGATTTTGATTTTAATTCTTCAATTTGTTTATTGTTATTATTTTGATCACCTTTTAATTGGTCGATTTCAGATTGTTTATTTGATAATTGTTCTTGAGCTGATTTAATTTCAGTATCTTTGGTATTAATTTGTTCTTTTAATTGAGAAACTTCGGATTTAATGGTATCAAGTTCACTTGATGATGATGATGAAGTGGTTTTTAATTGATCAATTTCAGATTGTTTGGCAATTAATTGTTCTTGTGCGGATTTTAATTCATTATCTTTACTAGATAGTTGATCTTGGATAGATTTAATTTCATTATCTCTACCGGATAATTGATCTTGGATAGATTTAATTTCGTTATCTCTACCGGATAATTGATCTTGGATAGATTTAATTTCATTATCTCTACCGGATAATTGATCTTGGATAGATTTAATTTCACTATCTTTATTTGATAATTGTTCTTTTAATTGAGAAACCTCTGATGATAATTCTGATTGTTTATTTGATGACTCTGATTCTTTACCTGATAATTGCTCTTTTAATTGTGAAATTTCATTATCTTTACTTGATAATTTTTCTTGAATTGATTTAATTTCACCATCTTTACTTGATAATTGTTCTTGAGTTGATTTAATTTCGTTATCTTTAGTATTGATTTGTTCTTTTAATTGAGAAACTTCAGATTTGATTGTATCTAATTCAGTTGATGATGATGATGAATTAGCTTTTAATTGATCAACTTCACTATTTTTACTTGATAATTGTTCTTGAATTGTTTTAATTTCATTTTCTTTTGATGCTAATTGTTCTTGAGTTGATTTAATTTCATTATCTTTAGTATTAATTTGTTCTTTTAATTGGGAAACTTCAGATTTGATGGTATCGATTTCACTTGATGAAGATGATGAAGTAGTTTTTAATTGTGAAATTTCATTATCTTTACCTGATAGTTGCTCTTTTAATTGTAAAATTTCATTATCTTTACCAGATAATTGATCTTGGATAGATTTAATTTCATTATCTTTATTTGATAATTGTTCTTTGGTTGAATTAATTTCACCATCTCTACCAGATAATTGATCTTGGATGGATTTAATTTCATTATCTTTATTTGATAATTGTTCTTTTAATTGAGAAACCTCTGATGATAATTCTGATTGTTTATTTGATGACTCTGATTCTTTGCCTGATAATTGCTCTTTTAATTGTGAAATTTCATTATCTTTGGAAATTAATTTCTCTTGAATTGATTTAATATCATTTTCTAATTTTTCTTTGCTGGCTTTACTATCGCTCTTGAAACTTTCTAAAGTATCAGTTAATTTTTCAATTTGGAAATCTTTTTCTTTGGAAGCATTATCATTCATCTTTTCAAAGTATTCAAGCTTTTCAGTTAATTCGGCATTGGCTCTTTTTTCTTCTTGGACTATCTTTTCTAATTCAGATTCTTTGTTGGTTTGGCCTGAAGAGAGTTCGGCAATCTTTGAATCCTTTTGTAAGAGAACATTGGTGAGTTCAGTGATTTTATCATTGAATGATTTAATTTGTTGTTGAAGACTTGAAATTTGGCCATTGAATTCTTTTTCGGATGATTCTTTTTCTGAAAGAAGAGTTTCTAATTTTCCTTTTAATTCATTAATTTTACTAGAATCGGCATGGGTATAGTCATATTGGCTTAATGGGTTATTGGTTTGGGTGGTTGCTTGAACACCATCAACTTTAACATTTTCAATTTGTTGTTCTAATCTCTTGATCTTTTCTTGAAGAGCCAATTCTTTTAATTCTTTTGCATGAATAGCTTTATTGTGTGACTCGGTTAAAATTGAAATTCTAATTGAACTTTCATCACGTTCTTTTTCAAGTTGAGCTTTAGTTTCATTTAAGACCGATTTTAAGTTTGACATTTTTTCAAATTCAGTTGGACCTTGCTTAACAACTTTCCATGAACCATCATTGAAATTTAATTCTGTTTCAGCAACTTTAGTGTTGGCCTTTGGTTGTGATGATGATTTGACTGGTTCAATAACTTTAGGTGTTTGTTGTGGTAGTGATTGTTTCTTTTTGGTATCTTTTGGTTTATCTTCAACTACTGGTTTTTTAATTTCTTTTGGTTTATCTTCAACTACTGTTGGTTTGGTTTCGACAACTGTTGGTTTGGTTTCGATAGTTTTTGGTTTGGTTTCGATGGCTTTTGGATTGGTTTCGATAGCTTTTGGATTGGTTTCGACAACTGTTGGATTGGTTTCAGCTTTTTTAACCTCTTCTTCTTTTGGTTTATTTTCAACTACTGATTTTTTAATTTCTTTTGGTTTAACATCAACAACTGTTGGTTTGGTTTCTACTTTTTTTGGTTCTACTTGTTTTTGTGATTTTGGTTTTGGTTGTTTTGATTGTTGCTTTGATTGTTGTTTTGATTGTTGTTTTGATTGCTGCTTTAATTGTTGTTTTGATTGTTGTTTATTTGAAGAAGTTCTATGTGTTGATTGTTTTGAAAGTGCCCCATCCATATCCCGCTTCTGGTTCAACTCCAAAAAATTGATAAAGGAAATACCCTGTAATAGCAAATAATCCTGTAAAAAATATAGCCCCTCTCTCCATCTTTTTTATAATATTAATAAAATAAAAAATTAATATAAAATCTTTTAAAAAAAATAGTGAAAAAAAACAAAAAAAAAGTTTCCACATTTATTTGTGTTAAATAAATTAATGTTTTTAAAAATATTATAACTTACCTCTATAAAACTATAACTCTTGTTTCTCTTTATTTTTTCTGATTACTATAAATATTATAATTGTTATTTATTTCTTTTTTAACTTTTCCTAAAAAAAAACTAAAATAAAAAAAAAAATGAAAAATTAATATTATAATCAATTTTAATTATAGTATTATAAAAATACAACAAAAATATAAAAAAAAAAAAAAAAAATTATAAAAAAATATAGACAGGTGGTGTTGATTAATTTTTTATTGTGTAAGTTGGATGAAAATGTTGAATTGGGGTGGTTATAAGGTTTATTAATTTTTTTTTATATTTTTTATTTTTTATTTAAACTTTTTTGAAATTATTTGGCTATATTGTTATAAATAATGAAATAAAACCTTTCTCTAAATATTTACTTTTTTTAATTATTTTTTGTTTATTAAAAATGAGAAAAATAAGATGTATAAATGATGAATAATCAAAATAAATGAAATAAAAAAAATAAAAAAAAAAATTCAAAAAAAAATTTTTTAAAAAAAAAAATTCAAAATTTTTTTATAAAAAAAATTAAAATTTTTTATTTTTTTTTTTTGGAGATTGAGGTCCTCAAAAGAACTTCATTATTCCAAAATAATATTTTTCATATGAATAATGAATAAAATTAAAATATTTTATTTTTTCAGTTTAATAAAGAAAATAAATAAAATTTTATTTAAAAGAAATATAATAATTGAATTTTTATAATACATATTATTTTTATTTTAAGATATATATTATAAAGTAATTAATTTTTATTTTTTATTGATAATTTATTTTTTTTATTTTAAATTTACTAAAAATAAGAAAACAATGATTTCAATTTAGTTATACAAATAATAAAAACAAATTATTATTTTTATTTTTTTTATGAAAAATTAAAAAAAATTAAAATAAAATTTATTTAAAAAAAATATTTTTTTTTTTTTTATTTTTAATTTTTATTTTTTTAATTTAATTCATTTAACATCCTTTTTTTCATTTTAATCTAATAACATTCACATATGTTTTTACTTTTATTTATTTATTTATTTATTTATTTATTTATTTTTATAGTTTTGTTTAATTGATAATATTTTTTCAAAATTTTTTTTTTTTAATTTTTCCAAATAAATAATTAAATATTTATTTATAAATATTAAAACAAAAATGTTTGAAACATTAGTTTCAAATTTACTTCAAAGATATTTAGGAGAATACATTCAATCTTTAAATACCGAAAATTTAAACATTAGTATATTAAAAGGAAATGTTTCTTTAGAAAATTTACAATTAAAAAAAAGAGCGCTAGAGAAATTTAATTTACCATTTACTATTAAAGAGGGTTTCTTAGGGAAATTATCATTAAAGATTCCGTGGAATAATCTAA